TCTTTCCTTATTACAAGTAGTTAGAGTTGCTGAGTATTACTGGGAGCAGATCTACAGAATGATAAGGGTTGGGTGTTTTTTTAAGCTTTCTCATGTACCAGGACTGGAATAAGAACTGAAAATATTTGGTGCCAGTGTAGTTGAAGGTTTACTGTGATGGTGCCAGTGTAGTTAAAGGTCTACTGCTATGTTTCTGTTTTATACAGGCTTGGGACTGTCGTTGGCCATAATAAAATGTTTTGGTGGTTGTGCACTCCCACCTGGTGGCTTGCTGTCACGACTTGTTGTCAATCATTCTCTTTACCATCATGAATTTCTTTGATCTTAGCTCCTCAAAAAGAAGCAATCTGCCTCTATCCACACACCACAATTGTGAAAGCCACAGCCTTTGATCTTTCCCCAGAAATGTCGTTACAATGGCCAATCAGGAAGTACTTGCACTATGATCGTGGTCTATCGGTTGGGACTTGAAATAGCCAGCCGTAGCCCGGTAGACCTTCAACTAAACAGGCACCAAATATTTGTATGTGAAATATGTTTTTCTTCTACTTCGTTATGGTTGCTTGAAAAGTTTTGTTTTTTTCTCTTTTCTCTCAGGTGTTCGCAAAGTGCTGAAGAATGGAGACAAAGTGATGTACGACTTGGAAAAGAAAATCAATGAGGCTGTGTTCCCTGGCCTTCAGGGTGGCCCCCACAACCATCAGATTGCAGGTAAAAGAGTGGTCCTATGTCTTTGCACTGTTTAAAATCATTTCATTCTCATATTTTGTTATAAGTCATGGCAATCTTGATATCTTCTTGAAAGTGTGCCGAAAGGCCTTAGTGTAAAATAAATATTATTTTGCTATGTCTCCGTCATAGTTTAAATGTGCAAGTTCTGAATACAAAGAGTGCTTAGAGGGATTTTTTTTCCCCAATGACAAAGTGTATTGAAGAAAGTGTTGGACTTTTTTCTTTAACCACAAAATATAACATTTTTTTTCTTCAGTTGAGAGTCGAGGTCATAATATAGTTGCTAAACTCTTGTCCTGTGTCTGCGCCGAGATGCGAATCTTATCAGCAATCGATTACGTCGAACGTGCCGCTGGGGTCACTCAGTGTGTACTGTTAGTGTACAGCGCGCGTGCCGGGAAACGTGTGTTTTCGCCATGAATACCGCGGGAGTGTGTTAATCAATGATGAAAATA